GAGACACATATACAGACACAGAGACACATATACACACACAGACACACAGACACATATACAGACACAGAGACACATATACAGACACAGAGACACATATACACACACAGACACACAGACACACACAGACACATATACAGACACAGAGACATATACACACACACATATACACACACAGACACATATACACACACACATATACACACACAGACACATATACACACACACATATACACACACAGACACATACACACACACACACAGACACATATACACACACACATATACACGCACAGAGACATATACAGACACATATACACACACAGACACATATACACACACATATATATATACACACACATGCACACAGACACACACACACACATATCCTCAGTATTGGGACACTCCAGTCCAGCAAGCCCCTGAAAAGATAGGCTTCCACACTCTATGTACAATTACTGTAGGATGCAGTAAATTAAGGCTCCTTCTAACACGAAAGTCATGTGGCCTTCCAAGGTACACCACTTAACAGCACCCCACTGTGTCTTGCAGGTGAAGTGCAACGAGCAACCCAACCGAGTAGAGATATATGAGAAGACCGTGGAGGTTCTAGAGCCTGAGGTCACTAAACTTATGAAGTTCATGTACTTCCAGGTGAGAAGCAGGTCCATCAGCAACAATTCCAAAAGGCAATGAGTTATCTGCATGGCTTGGAAACTGAACCCTTAGTCCCTCGCGGGCTCCCTCTCGGGTTGGGCAGGTAGTTGTCTCGGGGACGCGTGGCTGTGGGCCCTTATGCCATGGGGGCGGTGGGGTGGCCTCGGTTGCCTGGCTCCCCCTGCCTTCGCCTTCGGCCTGGGGGGGGGGGGGGGGCCCCGGGTTGCCTGGCCCCCCCCCCCTTCCCTTTGGGCCGGGGGGGGGGGGGGCACTGTGATGCCCCCCGGCGGCATCAACTACCAGCACATCTAATGATAAATCAGTTCATACCTACACTTGCACATATAAGAATGGGCGCATACGAGGCTGAGCGATCAGTATCGTCATTATTATTACTTATTATTAAAAAAAGGAAACTGAAGCTTGGTGTCTCCACAGTCTCTATCCCCTTACGTTGGGCTGTATGAACGTTATTCATGTTTATATTGCTGATGATCTATCAAAATGAATCTGTGTGAGGGGTGGGAGTTAAAACGGGCTTGTGACCCCCAGCGGAAGGCCATTGAGCGGTTCTGCGGCGAGGTCAAGCGGCTGTGCCATGCAGAGCGCAGGAAGGACTTTGTGTCCGAGGCGTATCTGCTCACACTTGGAAAGTTCATCAACATGTTCGCCGTGCTGGACGAGCTGAAGAACATGAAGTGCAGCGTAAAGAATGACCATTCAGCCTACAAGAGGTGGGCCGTACGAGCGGCGTCGAGGATAAAAATTTTCTCGGAGGGAAGTGAACAGGAGTGAGAGTGATTGTGTTTCGTTTCAGAGGTCTTCATGGTTCCTTCTTCCCCTCTGCCTATCCACAGGGCCGCCCAGTTCCTGAGAAAGATGGCGGATCCACAGTCTATTCAGGAGTCCCAGAATCTCTCCATGTTCCTGGCCAACCACAACAGGATAACTCAGGCATGCTAACCTACATGCTAAACAAACACATAAATGCTTTTATTGGTATTATAAAAAAATAACTCAATGTGTCTTTTGCTTGTCAGTTTTACTTTTAAGTTGATGAGGCATAAGAAATTTTTATATTTACAAAATGTAAAAGTAGTCAAGTTGAGTCAAGTTGATGCCTGTTCATGTGATGGGGATTATGCCTCCTTGCAGTGTCTCCACCAGCAGCTCGAGGTAATACCAGGCTACGAGGAACTCTTGGCTGACATCATCAACATCAGTGTAGACTACTATGAGAATAAGATGTACCTCACACCCAGTGAGAAGCACATGCTGCTGAAGGTGACCAACCTTTTCCCCTCTTTCCCAAGCCTACTCTCAGATGCTTATGGTGCTCCTGGGGTTATGACTGACTTTGCCCTGTCTCAGGTCATGGGCTTCGGCCTCTACCTGATGGATGGGAACGTCAGCAACATCTACAAGCTGGATGCCAAGAAAAGGATAAACCTGAGCAAGATTGACAAGTTCTTCAAGGTTAGGCCTTCTGTTTTAGGGTCAGAATCTCATAGTGAAAGAAAACTGCTCATACTTTCATCTAGAACAGACAAGATTAAAGTTCTATGTTTACATTCCAAGTGTTATACTTCTGGGCTTTGATTATGGGTCCCCTGTTGAGTTTGGTCTGACTTTTCTGGCTCTTCAGCAGCTTCAAGTTGTCCCCCTTTTCGGGGACATGCAGATTGAGCTGTCCCGGTACATCGAGACCAGTGCCCACTATGAGGAGAACAAGTCCAGGTCAGTGTCCAGGAAATGGGAAAAAGCCTGGAAAGATAATAATAGAGACTTTATTGATCCCTGTGGGGAAATTCTCTTTACACCTTCCCCAACTTGCTCTCTGTATGTGAGAGCAAGCTGGCCATGAAGGGCAGCCACCTGTTGCAGCACCCAGGGATCTGGGCGTTACAGGCCTTGCTTAAGGAGCTGCAGACGTGTTGAGACCTGGCTCAAACCGGCAACCTTCTGATCTCAGGCACAGAGGCTTAGCCCATTGAGCCACACGCTGCCCCTAATAACAGAAGAATATTGGTTTTCCATAAAAATAGAGAGAAGCCTCTCAAATGCAGACCTTCCCATCTTTCCCAGGTGGACGTGCACTCAGAGCAGCATCAGTCCCCAGTATAACCTGTGTGAGCAGATGGTCCACATCAGAGAGGACCACATCCGATTCATCTCGGAGCTAGCCCGCTACAGCAACAGTGAGGTGGTGACCGGTTCAGGCCTTGACAGCCAGAAGTCAGATGAGGAGTACAGGGAGCTCTTTGACCTGGCACTCAGGGGCTTACAGCTGCTGTCCAAGTGGAGCACCCACGTCATGGAGGTGGTAGGTATACAAGTTCCCAGGCTACCTACCATGCAAGCCCTACTTTCTTTCCGTGAAGGCCCATGGGTGGTCTAAGAAAGGTATCTGCTTTGTCCTAATAGCAGTTGGTGTCCCTCATACCTTGAAAATTTAGCCAATGGTGACAGGTTAATTAATACTCAATAGTGTATGATGACCTTTGTGGTCAGCTTGATGGATTTCCCTGAAAAACACAATACCTATGCAGTACAGTACCCTTCATATATGTGCAGTGGCACCTGAATCTGTACTCGAGATCTCATTGGGTGAAGACTTGACATTGGGTGAAAACTTGATGTCATGAAAGTGAATGAGGATTTCCATATGTTTGGAAGCTCATGACATGACAATTCATGCTCATGTTGTGTCCTTGGTGGAGCCTGGATTTATGGATTATGGATGCTGAAGTTTAATGTACACTAAAATGAGTTTCTCTGTTTTACCCCGCAGTACTCCTGGAAACTGGTACATCCCACTGACAAGTTTTGCAACAAGGACTGCCCTGGGACGGCAGAGGAGTATGAGAGAGCCACGCGCTATAACTACACCAGCGAGGAGAAGTTCGCCCTGGTAGAAGTCATCGCCATGATCAAGGGCCTGCAGGTCTTGATGGGCCGAATGGAGAGCGTGTTCAACCAGGCTATCCGGATTAGCATCTATGCTGCGCTGCAAGACTTTGCTCAGGTGATCCTGAGGGAGCCGTTGCGGCAGGCGGTGCGGAAGAAGAAGAACGTCCTGATCAGGTAGGTGGAGGAGGATGATGGGGCACTGTCCTCTATCTGTTAGGGGTCTGAGGAAGGACCATTACATACCTTAACAATGTAGGTCAGGTGTGTGGAGGAAGATGATGGGGCACTGTCCTCTATCTGTTAGGGGTCTGAGGAAGGACCATTACATACCTTAACAATGTAGGTCAGGTGTGTGGAGGAAGATGATGGAGCACTGTCCTCTATCTGTTAGGGGTCTGAGGAAGCACCATTACATACACTAACAATGTTGATGTTCCTATTGTAAATGTAGGAAATTCTGTATGTGCTGTTCCTTAGTTTTCCAGTGTTAGCATTATACACATACCTTCTCATACCTCTGTCCTAGTGTCCTCCAAGCAATTCGGAAGACCATATGTGACTGGGAGGGGGCAAGGGAGCCGCCCAACGACCCCTGTCTACGAGGGGAGAAGGACCCCAAGGGGGGCTTTGACATCAAAGTGCCCCGGCGAGCTGTGGGACCCTCCAGCACCCAGGTCAGGGGATGGGGCCTGGGTCATTTCTGGGAAAGTGACGTGGTTTTCTGGTGCCCATGTGTGACATGTGCCTCTCTCGCCCATGTGCCGTGCAGCTGTACATGGTGCGGACTATGCTGGAGTCCCTGATCGCAGACAAGAGTGGCTCCAAGAAAACGCTCCGCAGCAGCCTGGACGGCCCCATAGTCATGGCCATCGAGGACTTCCACAAGCAGTCTTTCTTCTTCACCCACCTGCTCAACTTCAGTGGTACGCCAGGAGGATGACATGGGGACTTTCCTACCATAAGTGACCTTAGACGGTAGTGACCCCCTCTGTGTCTGTCCCGGCAGAGACCCTACAGCAGTGCTGTGATCTCTCCCAGCTCTGGTTCCGTGAGTTCTTCCTGGAGCTGACCATGGGCCGTAGGATCCAGTTCCCCATCGAGATGTCCATGCCCTGGATTCTCACAGACCACATCCTGGAGACCAAGGAGCCTTCCATGATGGAGTAAGAACCTTAGTCTTTGCAAGTAATAATGTAGACCTATTCTGTCCTGTGCCGCAGCGTGTTGCTCAGTGGGTGAGGACGCTGTGTCTGTTGGCTGTGATGTCATCATCGAGCCCTTGAACGAGGCCTTGAATGGTCTCATTACTTTAGATAAAAGTATCTGCTAAATAAATAAAAGTAGAACTGAGCTGCAATTTTACATGGAGCTGGTCATGTTCTCCAGGTATGTACTGTACCCGCTGGATCTGTACAATGACAGCGGTTACTACGCTCTGACAAAGTTCAAGAAACAGTTTCTGTATGATGAAATTGAAGCTGAGGTAAGTGTTGATACTTAGATTGAACTTGGTTGTTGTCCTCAATGACACATAATGTATGAGTTTTAGGTCATTGGTGATGTGCTGGTGCTTAACCCTAATATGAAACACTACTAATCATCTCCACCATTGTGTCGTTATTGGGATTTGCTAGACTATATTGCCCTAATTATCTCTCTTTCGTTACAGGTGAATCTGTGTTTTGACCAATTTGTGTACAAGCTAGCAGATCAAATTTTTGCCTACTACAAAGCAATGGCCGGAAGGTAAGGTGCCGGCCCGAGTGACTCATGACGACTATCAAGGGAAACCACCTGGATGGCTCTGGTGTCAGTGGTATCTGCTTGTCCTCCTCAGTGTTCTACTGGATAAACGTTTCCGAGCAGAGTGCAAGAACTACGGCGTGATTATTCCGTACCCACCCTCCAACCGCTACGAGACGCTGCTCAAGCAGAGGCATGTGCAGGTGAGCGCTTTCACAATGCTGGCGGAGAGACACCAGTGATAAATATATCACCTCACGTCCTATTGCAGATACAGCCTATTGCAGATACAGCCTATTGCAGATACAGCCTGTTGCAGATACAGCCTGTTGCAGATAAAGCCTATTGCAGATACAGCCTATTGCAGATACAGCCTGTTGCAGATACAGCCTATTGCAGATACAGCCTATTGCAGATACAGCCTGTTGCAGATACAGCCTATTGCAGATACAGCCTATTGCAGATTCAGCCTGTTGCAGATACAGCCTATTGCAGATACAGCCTATTGCAGATTC